GAAAGGCTCTTGAGAACCACAGAGCTCGGTTTACTGTAAAATGAAAACTTGCTCAGGGGAAAGCAGGCAGCAAAAGGTGTAATGCCACAGAGTCACAAACACCCCTCCCACCCACCCCCTGCCAATTGTACTGCCACTTTGCTTTGCCAACTTCTGGCTGGCAAGGATGCCATAGTGCTGGGTCCTGGGCGGTTTTCATACTGTCCCAGACCTAGCTAGAGCACTCTGCCTCTGAAACTTTGACAACGGTGCAAACGTGGGCTCTGGGCTGGTGTGTTTGTGTGGGGAGTGGGGCCAGGGGTAAGGTGTGTGTGGTGCCCCAATCTGAGGGCATCAGTCAGCATCAGTCTTCGAACAAGGCTGATGGTTAGGGAACTCCAGACAAGTTGACTTTCTTCCTTTTTCATTGGGGAAAACCCAGCAACCAGAAAGGTCTGGACCACTCCCACCCCACCACCACAGGCCTTGCGTGTCCCTTATTCCTGAAGATCTTGCCTCAGCATCTCCCCCTAAGAGCCGCAGAATCTCCAGGCACCCAAGCAAAGCGGTGGTGGAGCCAGAGACGCTTCAGAGAAAAGCCTCCCCCAAGCCCTATTAGGCTTTCTTGCTTTCTGTCCTGATCTCTGTCTCTGCCTCTCTGTCATCTCGGTCTCTCTCGCCTCCCTCCCCACCCCACTTTAAAAGGCCTCCAAAGCCTGGAAGAAGTGGCTTCACTTCATAAAGCTGGTAAAGGCAGGTGATAAAGATCAGCCGTTTAAATTGGCCATTTGGAAGATTATATCTCTTCAGGGAGGGTTTTTCTTTCAAACTCCGCTACTCTGTACTGGGCTTTCAAAGGCCCGGACACCTTTTAATTCGGCCGTGGAGTGGCCTAGGATAGGTGACCGGCGCCATCAAAGGCCCGTGAGAAGGCCGTGGGGCAACACTCGTCTAATGACAAGTAATTGACGGATTCGAAGCAGCGCATTACCAGCGGAACGGGGAGGCATTAATTATTTAAAAACGATTAGCCTCACTGAGGGTCCAGCAGGAAATCTTGCTCAGTCCTGAGCGAACACCAGCCACGCCAACCAAAACCGAGTCTCGAGACCTGGCTTGTGAAAGAGGGATGGGGCCGATCTGAGTTCCCAGCATGCAGGGACCGACAAAGCACAAATCACGGGTGCTGCCAACCAGAACGAATTTCTGCCTCTTGGGGTTCCAACTCTGTTGATTGTAGGACGTTCACGAAGAAGTTTCCAATAACTGCTGCATAACGCATCTCCCTGCCTGCCGAACTATCCAGAATCACCAAGCCAGCATGTTACTATGCTGTGTTTCCAGGCACGCAAAATAAAAGCCCCAGGAAGAATTCAGAACTTGGAATGGGGGGTGGGTGTCGGAGTGCAACTGGAAGACCCCTGGGAAGAACTTTTCAGTTCGCCGCTCTCGGGCCCCACTAGACTACTGCATCCTCGCAGATAAACTGTCGGTTGTGTTCTGTGCTTCCAAGGAGAGCCCAAGTCTAGCCTACGCTAGCGCGCCCTTGACTCCAGCCAGCTGTGAGACGGGGATTCCCAGGACACTAGGCAACCGAGTTGTGGGGAACACGGGGTTATCAATGGCCTACTGACCCGTTTCTGTCTCTCCCCGTCCAATTCATCCAGTTAAGCCAGAAACATCCAGAACTTGCCTACAACCCCAAGCACTTGTGCTCAAGGGCCACCAGCGGTGCCCGGAGCGACAGTGAAGGTTCAATCTATCCAGCGGCTTCCTCAGGTCCGTGGGCTGGGGGGGGCTCCCGCGCGTCGCCCACCGCACCGTGCCAGGCCTGACAGATGCCCCTGGAGCCTCCGAGCGGGACGCGACCTGGTGCGTGGGTGGGGGTGCGTGCCTGGCCTCTAATGGCACACGAGGAACCACGCAGGGCATTTCCTGTCTACCCTCACCCGGATCGAGTCCACCTGGCCACTGTCCTCGAGAAACCAGCGGCCTTCGGACTCCCCATTCCCAAGTGGCTACAGGGGTCCTGTCTTGGGTTCTGGTAGCAACGTCCTCAACCTTAAGGATCCTCCCAAGGCCTCCCCAACCGTGCACAGAGGCCAGACTTCCTCTGAGTTTGCAATTCTGCGTCCCCCTCGGCCTCCTATGCCTTCGGCTCCATTCTAGAAAAGAGTTCTCCAAATGCAATCCACCAAGTTTCCGATTCCTCGCTGGTTTCGTGGGAAACCCCCTCACCCGCTAGCCGCAGGGGTGCGAGCCGGGGCCGGGAGCAGCCCTGGTCGGGGCGGGAGGCGCGCCGGGGCCGCGCGGAGCCGGGCGCGGGACCCGAGCGGGCGCGCTCCTACCTGCGCCTGCGGCGGCGGCGGCGGCGAGCGTCCAGCTCGAGGAGGGAGGCGGCTGACTGCTCCGAGCCGAGGCATCCCTGCATTTATTTGAGCTCAAACCGAGCGACTGTTGACTTTAGCACACAAAGCAAAGATTTCGCTGCCCCGCTAGTTTAAAAATGAATATTTTACCAAGATATTGATCAGCGTTATAAAATTCAGTTAAGTACAATGGGATCCCGGGGAGAAAAAAAAAGAATAATAAAGGAGGGGGAGGCAATATAATATCTGTGCAAATTTGCTGAAATGTGACGTGGCATAGAAAGTTTACCCTCCTGGAATTCGGATCTAGAATGTTTTTTTCGGTTGTTTACTGACTTTGTTTGTTCACAGATCACGGTTGCTTAAACCAGCGCGCGCAGAAGGCGCTAGAGGAAAGGAAGAAGCTTCGAGATGGGCAAAGAAAGGCTGCTGCCCACAGGGCGCAGAGCCTGGTACTGCGCCCCGGGCAAGTTGGGGGCTCGTCGGGCCTGGAGCCTGGAGGGGAGGAGGGGAGAGGTGAAGAGGGACGCGGGCGGAGGCGGGAGGGGGCGGTGGAGGCGGAGGGAGGGGGTGTTGGCGAAAGACTGGACTCCCGGAAAGCCCTCCGAAACCATCCCGATCCCCGACATCCTTTTAATGTATTCGGACAGAACTGTCTTATCGGCCCGGATCAGCTGAGGGGGGTGAGCTAAGTAGTTTAAAACGACCCTAGCACAATGGGCGTGCGATCCTAAACATTGCAGGTTAGAGCAGCGCTTTCAATGCCCATTGTCCCCCTCAGACCCCGGCCTTGCCTCTGGGCTCCTTCACCACGGGAGCCTTTTATGTGATAATGAAACACATTTCAGGCCGAACTCACGACGTGTGTGTCCTCGCCAGGGGGAGAAATGGCCCTGATTGCTGTTCCCGGCCTCCGGAATCCTCCCCGCCCCCTCCCCCATTTCTCTTCCTTGTGTTCTGCGGGACAATGTGGCACGCTAAG